AAACTTAGAATGCTAAGCGATGATTGTGAGGTGTGAGCACTAGCTTATCTTAGGAATTGTGCCTAAAATACTTTTATGTGCTAAATACTTGTGCCTGATATGTTGTTAGTTGTTCGGATCTATGGTCTGTTGCCGACCGGATCTGGAAACCTTATGTGTTTAGGATTCTAAACGTACGACTACGATATTAGAAATAGCATATAAACGTTTCGGAGTGATAAGGATGATTTAACCGTCAATCCTAAGTAAAGATCTAGATTCACCTTATTCGGTGTATAGATCAAGATGGCAAGAACCCGTAGTGGAAACGTGAATGCAAATGGGAACAGAAACCAACCTTCAGTGATTGAGCAAATACCGGTGATAGAAGCCGCTGTTGGGCCAGTCACAATGGCCGGAGTGCAAGCGATGATCCAAGCGATGTTGGATCGTCAAATGGAGGAAACTAGGCGTTTGCTCCAGCAAAATCGAGAGGAAGCGACCATTCAAATCGAACAGCCTGAGTTGAACGAAGGACAGACTGAGGAGGGAAACTATAGTGGGACTGTTGGTCAAGCCAACCCACCAATAGTTAGGCAAAACCACCAGGATGGAGGAAATGATGGACGTGGATGCAAATACAAGGATTTCATGGCGTCCAAACCACCGAGTCTATCTGGAAGCCCGACGCCGGTGGAAGTCATGAACTGGATCTCCGAGATGGAGACGATGTTTGAGAGTTGAGAGTGTAGCAACAGGCAGAAGACCGCTCTCGCGATTCCTTTGTTGAAATCTGGAGTATTAAGCTGGTGGAAGCTACTAGCCGATTCGATGCCCAAAGGAGAAGCGAGCAAGATGTCATGGGAGGATTTTCTGGTGCAGTTAAAAATGCAGTACTGCTCTGAGCAGGATCTTCTGGAAATCAACAACGAGTTTCAGAATCTAAAGAAGGGAAAGATGAGTATCATCGAGTATGCTGCAAGTTTTACAGAGAAAATGAAGCTTGTTCCTTATCTAGTTCCAACTGAGCTCTCTAAGGTCAATAAGTTTGCCCATGGATTACCAGCAGACTTTGGACCAATGGTCAAGCAAGCAACCACTTTGAAAGGAGCCATATGGGCAGCCAAGAATGTTGAGACCCAGATTAGGGAAAAAGGTCTGGAGAGAGCTGAACTTGGCGAGAAAAGGAAACATGAAGGATCATCAAAATCCAACAAAGAAAGGAAATTCTCAAGGACTGAAGCAGGAGGAGGAGGTGAAACCAAGTGGTGCGAGAAGTGTAAAAAGAAGCACTTCGGGAAATGTAGCGAGGAGGTGACTTGCTACAAATGCGGAAAGACAGGGCATTACGCCAGCAAGTGTGCATCCAACAAGAAGGTGTGTTATGGATGTAACAAAGAAGGGCATATTTCTAGGGACTGCCCGGGGAAAAATAAAGCAGCAAGACCCGAAACGCCACCGAGGCCAAGGGCATTTCACATGATCCTCGACGAAGCAGAAAACCGTGCAAGGAATCAAGGATGAGGACTTCATATCCGAAGATAGAGTTATGCGGTAGACATAGTATCATATGATGTAGCCTATTATAGGCATAGTCTAGGGTGAACTTGAACACCTATGTAATAGTTTCAAGAAATAATAAAACCTTCGTTTTGTTATCTGATGTGTTAAACTCTTGTGTGATTTTCATGCATGGTGACTTGGGAAAACTGCGAGACAATACTTGGGACGAGTATGAGTAGGTGTGAAAGGTAGTAGATGCATATACTACCGGAAGCACAGGACTCACGCTTGGATCAGGGAAAGTCACAAGGTTACCAAGAAACTAGTAATTGATTTCGATTTATTCAAGTGTGTTGTTACCATTGTTTCAGTAATGACTAAGACGATTGTTGATATTCCGACCCTAGTGGTCATATCGAATTGAGTCCGACTACGATGAGTATGTTACGTGGTTCAGAGAACCAAGTTTGATGTAGCGTCCGACTTAAACCAAACGATTGAAATCAAAGCGATCAATAGAAGTATCGCGCTCGTTGTTAAAAGAAGATGGTTGCTAGAGATGCTACCTTTTTAGATGTGACTAGAACATGAAGGAAGGTATAGACTGTTATGGAATTTAACTCTAAGAGACTTGAGTCTGAGCATTGCAACATACGATGAGAGGTCATTAGAATATGACACATCGGTCCATTGTATTAATAAAAGAACTTATCTTAAGTTCGTATCCAGAGAGGATCGAGATTGTGACTTGAAGGTCATAATTTGGAGTCTAACGTGAGATAGAGAGCGTACGCAAGATCGAGCACCGCCTGTAGTCAAGGAGTCTAAGAGTTAGATACACGTTCGAAGAAACCTCGAAGTTATGACTTAGGATGAATAGATAACAAATGGAGTCATCATGTGAGCCATGTTTCGTTGATGATTCCGGGACGTAATCATCCTAAGGGGGAGATAATTGTAACGCCCGCAGATCTGGGCTAGTCAATTTAGAGGCAATAGGGGTCGAAAATGACTTTTCGACAAAAGATTATTTAGAATAAATAATCTTAACCAAGTTGTGGAATATGTCTCAAGCTTTCCGTACATATAAAGAACGCCGAAATCCGAGTTATAACGAAGAAGTTATGGCCCGCCGAAGTTTTACGGCAAAACCGGCACAGCACCGGGAGACGTAAATAGTGAATTTACGATAGAAGACTTTTTAGCCTTAGCAATCTAAACAAAAGTTGTATAATATGTTAAACTAAGAACATCGATAAAAAGAACGCCCAAATCTGACTTCGTATGAAGAAGTTATGATTTTTCTAAGATTCGGCTTAGCAGTGCACGGCCCGAAACTCGAATTTTAGTTCGAGCGGTTTTTGGCTTACGCGACCTAAATGAGAGTTGAAGGTATCATTAATAGGAACTCAACGGTAAAAAGACAGACGAAAACGGAGTCCGGATGAAGGAGTTATGAACTCTTCGCGGTCATTTAACAGTCTAAACGCCTCCTACTGTTAAATTTGAAATCGGTCGAGAATTAGCCGATGGAGTCTAAACGAAAGTTGTAGATCTTGATTTTACCTACGCGTGGATATAAAGAACGTCGAAAACGGAGCTCGTATGCGAAAGTTATGATTTTTCTAAGTTTGAGGGCTGATACGCGATAGGGGTGACGTGGCACCACCAGAATTGGACACGTGGCACCACCAGAAGGCCACCACATGGACTGACTCGACGAGTCATGACTCATACTCGATGAGTCCATCAGGTTCCTCCCCTATAAATAGAGGTGCTGGGTTCCATTCATTCTCACACCTTCAACCTTCTTCTTTCTCTCTCTAAACTCTCTCTCTAAGCCCCCTAACCCCCCTAAAGCCTAGGGTAACTCCCTAGCACGAGGCGGAAGCCCCGAAGCGCCCGATGGCTCCGAGAAAAGAGCCTTTCGGCTCGGAAACGCTGCTCCAGCGAAGCCCGGTTTTGCGAAAAACCCGCTGTAAGTGAGCTATGCCTACGCTATCTTTAATATAGCTTATGTTTTAATATAGTAACATTATTAGGAACTTATAATGAGTATTTAGGCTATTATTATGAGTTATATTGAGTGTTATTTAACGCTTATATAATAATAATAATAGTCCGACTGCTGAGTCACCACCTATTCAGGTGAGTGCATAGTCCCTTTCATCTTACACATAGATATGAAGTATTTTAATATAAATTACGTGCTATGTGTGCATATTGTCTGAATACTTGCTGTCTATGCTGAGTGAAAGATTTTATACATGTTTTAAACTATATATGTATTTTATATCTACGATAATGTTGGGGTAAAACATGGGTAGATATAATAGATGAAATATGAGTTGGATGATGAGTTGAGAGGTGATATAGACTATGAGGTGTGGGTGAGAGGTGTACGATGTGAGAAGCCTTCTTCCCAAACGAGGTCCCCATCATTCAGCAGAGTATGGATGACAACCACGGACTATCCTAGATAGTCTAGTGGAACACTGGCAGGCTCGCAACATGTAGGTGTTGTGAACGATGTGTTCACCCGGTGTACTCTAAACCTTGGTGATCATGCAGACTTGATACCGAGACCCTGGCGATCATGCAAACTTGGTGCCAAAACCTTGGCGACTATGCAGACTTAGTGCCAATTGTATAAATTCTGGCGACTATGCAGACTTAGTGCCTAAACCGCGGTGACGATGGACTTCGTGCCGATTCCTTAGGATGATCCTTAGGAACGTATAAACGAGGAATAGTTGATTCTTAGGATAGATCCTTAAGAATAAAACAGACAATGGGGATGGGTAATTGGGTTGATTGTTTGATTGTTTGAAAATAATAATTATATTATTGTGGGTTAAAACCCTATGTACTCACCAGGTTTCCCAACCTGACCCACTTAGTTTATGTATATCACAGGTGACGAAATGAAGTGACATTACACTGAGAGATTTAAAGAGATGTAGATCACTAGTGTAAATAATTGTAAGTTCTGTTTATGCTTATGTTTCTGTAATAACGATGACATCCCAAAATTTTTGAAATGAATAAAATACGTTTCTTCGAAAATGTTTTAATAACGTATTTATCGTGTTTTTCTGGGAACAAATTCCGCAACCTTTTTATAAAATGAAGTACTCTGATTTTCATAAAGCATAAACAAAACCGGTCTTTTCTAGCCGTGATTTTGGGGATGTCACAGCGTTCAATGAATCAGATAATTTCTTTTCATTAAATAACCTAAAAAAATTTTATATAGGTTGTCACGAGTCTAGTTGAGTCAAGATGCGTGTCGAGATGAGTTGAGTAAACCTTGTTCCAGTTCCTTCTGTCTTAGTTGCTTGTGTGCTTACTCTATCTTAATGCTCGGATCACGAATTTCTCTTATCGATAATGAGTTATTCGCCTTCAGAAGTAAGGTCGGGTAGGAACGATAAGTGGGTGGGGTCATTGAGTTAGCCCAAGGGGGGAGCCATCCTCTCGGGAAAGGGACAGGAGCGCCTGGCGAAACCAGACTCTATCTATCCATTCTGCCTCAGATCCAATCTGACTGCACTGACGAAAGAACAATGTCCGCCCTGATCACCCATGTGACAGATGGTGACTCCTTCATCGCGTCCTTTGCTGAGGTAGAGTGCCTGAAAGAGAAATAAGAGCTTACTAAGCCAAAAAGGTGAATATAGAGCCAAACATGCGGTTTTTTCTCGTCAAGCAGCAATCAAATCCTGGGAAAAAGGTAGGGTAGAATCGTCGAGTCGTCTAGCACCGTTCCCTGCCTCAACTCCACAATCACAATCATTTGTGAATAAAAAAGGTGGTTTGCTGTTATCCCCGGCATTGGAAAGACCTGACAAAGAATCCTTATATCGGGAAATGTGCTATATGGAGGTTTTTTTTATGATTGTTGATGTACTGACTCATGCTCAGGATCCGCTTATGGTGGTTCAGCTTGCTTCTCTGTTGGCATTTCCTAGACCCAAGACCTACTAATATTATAATACTGCATGCAGAATGGATAGCACAGGTCGGAGGGGAAGAAGAAGGGAAGAGTACAATGGAAGGGGCCTAGGAAGATGTTCAACAACCATCTCCTTTCCTCAGTAATATCATCATGACTCTCGAAGTCATGCGCGGTAGCAATACCAAACCAAATACGACGAGTAGTGGGGTCCTGAGCTAAGCCTTGGCTAAACCTTGGAAATCTTAATGCCATAATGCCTTTCAAATCCTCCTAGCCATTATCCTACTGCAATAATTCTTGCTAAGAAGAACGCCCATGTTGTGGCAATTCCACCCAGAAGGTAATGGGTTACTCCTACAGCACGTCCTTGTACAATGCTTAAGGCGATAGCTGGGTAGCAGGAGCAACTTTGAATTTATTATGAGCCCAAACGATGGATTCAATAAGTTCTTGCTAATAACCACGTCCACTGAATAAAAACATTAAACTAAAAGCCCATACAAAATGAGCACCTAGGAAAAAAAGGCCATATGCGGATAATGAAGAACCATAAGACTGAATTACCTGGGATGCTTGTGCCCATAAGAAATCGCGGAGCCACCCATTAATAGTAATAAAACTCTGCGCAAAGAATGTCTGAGTCCCTCTTCCTTTCCTGAACCTGTGAGAACACTCTAAGAATATGCCAGCAAAGACCTTATTCAAGACTTTATAAATTGCATCCATCACTGTCATTTTTATGTGGTTGAGTAAGACGGCGTAGCTTCCCAGGTTTATTGGGTTTTGGAATAAACGATCTATCTATACATGAAAAGGATAAAACCTCAAGAAAGAAGACCTTAATGCCTTATCAATGGAAAGGTCTTCGAAACTATGAATCTTTCATCTCTTCTCCTCCCGCAATAAGGACGTGTCTAAGGATGCTACTTCGGGCGGGCGTGCTTCTTTCTATGGGGGCGCGCATCACTTTGGACGTGCTTTACTTTACCGGCAGATGCATGAGTCGGAACGTAATAGCTAGGCACGTCGTGGGAGGAGAATAAGCAAAATCTATTGCATAATCCAAGTAAAAGTGAACATCTCGCTAATCAAAATCATCATCACGAGCAGTAGCTGAAACTGCTAGTCGATCTACCGGATCAACTTCTGCCTACCCCGCCCGGTCAAAGATCGCCGGGAGTCTTTATTTTATTTTATTTTTTAATAGGAAAAATGAATGAAAATAAAAGTGGAGGCCCGCCATCTGCTAGCATTGTGGTTTGGAATCGATTCTTTATCAATAGCCCACCCTTTCTTTGAACCTTGTCAATGATCGAACTTAAATTAAAGATATGAACTGAGTGCCATTTGATGAGTAACTGAGAACAAAGGAGAGGGATATGGAAAGAATGAAGTAATGAAAGAGGAAGTCATTGCTAGTAGTAACGACTTGTCACGATCCATTGGTTCATATAGAATCCATGTCCTAGGTGTATCAAAAAACATTCTTTTCACTAAGCGTATATAATAAAATAGAGTGAAAGGGTCCACCCCGAAACCAAGGGGGTACTAACTAACAGCTGAGTCCTCTCCGAACCGCAGGAGATAGTTGCCCATCATATGGCTCACCAACTTCACTTGCCTCTATGGGGGCTCGCTCCGGGCAGGTTCGGATCACTTACAATACATGGCTCTACGAAGGAAGGGCTTGGGTTAGGAGCGTTTTCAATATGATTCTTTTCCTGTATTTGTTCGATGAGAAATGCGAGTTTGTTTTGTCCACTTTCTCCATCCCCCTCTATAAAAATGAAAAAAAAAGGTAATGGAATTACTTCTTATTCCCGTGTTTGATCTCTTCCATCGCGGCCTCGCTCCTTGTCACCTATGTTGAAGAAAGGTTTGGAACCCTATAGAGAATGAAGAGGGGCCAAAGATCTTCCTCTCAACAGTGCTTCTCGAGGCTCCACTCTCCCCCCTGAATAAGTAAGGCCCCGTTATCCTGGGCGAAGATGAGGATAAAGAGTAAGGATTGAAGCCCCCTTAGTATACCACCTTGAGTATCCTGGGATTGAATACCCCGACCTCCCGGAGCTATATTACAAGCTTATGTTTTTACGATCTTAATCTGTATTTACTTGAATGATGCTATAAATCTCCATTAAAGTGGTTATTTATTTATAATTGAACAAAAGCGAGGAGGCGAAGCCGCTTTACCGAATTGTAGAGGTGAAGGTACGAGAACTTCCCCCGAATCGACAAAAAGATTCCGAGCACGTCTGGTCAAAGTATATCTTGTCTTTACCACGAGCCATTTTCCGGCTAACAAGAATGAAAGTTTTGCACATATCCGCGGGTTCTTCAATTTTATTTATTCCTCATAGACGAAAGAAGTAAGGTGGTATACTATATTTCTCCGCTTATTTGAACTCCTTCTAATGATCTATGCATTCTGTTATCATTTCCAGTTGTTCGATCCATTGTGATTTGGTTCCTTGGTGTGGAGAGATCTCTGCCATAAAAAGAGAGAGCTCGTAGGCCTTATTCTGCAGATCAAAGAGCGACTTAATTCCCCATTCATACGAAATAGTATTTTAGTATAGAACAGAGGCATTGTGGGCCGACTACTATGACTACATGCGCATCTAGTGCAGTGGCTTGGAAGCAAGCTACCTTGACCATCTTCCGAAGTTCTAAATAATCTACTTATCAAAGGCTGTAAGGGCGGGTTGCTCTACATTCAGCCACATCACAGTGACCCCCGAAGCGATCTTATTCTAGTTGTAGGACGAAATCCGACAGCCAATTGCTGGCTCTGAATAACCAGCCCAGCAAGAAGCTCAATTCTTCTATAACATAACGGGGCGGGGTTGCGCGCGAGCCGAGTGACGTAGGTGCACAAGAGTACTTCGCGCCACAACCATCTCTTTTTTATAGGTTCTACGGACCGATGCCTGCTGCTTCATCTGGGAGAAAATAATCATAGATATGTCGGTCATTAGAAGGAAGAACCACCATAAAAAGATTCCTCGTGTATCATCTGTAGCAAAATTATGAACGGGAGCTAGCAATCCGGACCGTATTGAAGAGGTTCCTGAGACACAGCATGGAAGAGTCACAATATTCAGAAACGAGGTCCAAGAATGAAGAAGGGGTAGAATTACTGAATGAATACGAGTTGTAGCTAATACCCGAGGCATAAAAGAAGCATTTTCCACGGGATCCCGAAACCACCAGCCACCCCGACCTAATTCATGATGAGCCCACCAACTTCCTGGCAAAATGCCTACGGTTAAAAACCACCGACATGTCAAGATCAAAATTCAAATTGGTTCCTGGTCCTGGTCAGAGACCACTGTGTTCGCGTCGGCGATCCAACAAAGAAGCGAAGTAGTGGTCTCTTTCTTTCCATTACGAACGACACGCTTCGCCTGCTCCCTCCCCGTGTCCACTAGCGCTCCTGTCCAGAGCGAAGAGAAGGCGAAACGCCGCCGAAGCAACATAAGCAGGCTTCTATTGCTACGTAACAATAGAGCAGGATAGCCTTTTTGCGCCCATATGTTTTAATTTTAGGGTAAAGAGCTTGCTTGTTCTACGGGATCCGACGCATGCAGCAGAGCGAAAGAGCCTTCCATTCTTTTCGGCGTCATCCTTCCGCATTGGCGGCGAGTGGAGTGCCACAATCCCATTCATCATTTTTGATCTACATAAGCCAAAGCCCATAGCACTGGCGACGTCTCCGGCATAAATGCAAGGAGGATGTATAGCTGATATAGGATCTTGTGGAACACGATTTGATTCTGCAAGCGGTTCGGTACGAACGAAGAAATTTCGAACAAAAGGGTCGGAACTCGCCGATAGGAAAGGAGAGAAAAACAAAGCAATTCCAAGAGCTCCGTCAATCCGCTGTTCATCGATAGACGAAGCTCTCTCTTTATCATCTCGCGCCAGATGCAACAAAGGATGAGTCCTTTTTCCTTCTCGCGAACCACGGAAGCGCCTAGCACCCAGAGGAGCAAAGCTTCTTTGGGAAAACAGCGCATAAAAAAGGGCTGGCCCGTCAAAAGTCCGGCGCCTTCGCGAACGAAGTTCAGAATCAACAAGGGTTCGTAGAACGAAGGGAGTGTACAACTGGGTCGTAGCCCCAGTTTTTTGTTCGTAACTAGGGAGAGATAGAATGGAGTTCTTCACGAAGTTTGAGACAAAGGAATAAAAAATACTTTCTCTATGGCCTCCTCGTTTTGAGACATTATGGCTTTGGGGTCGACCCCGGTAACAAAGAAGGAATCCATAAAAACTTAGGATCCGACACCATGATAAAATACTACCCTCATGATTAGACCATGTCCCTGAGATTTGATAAAAGAAAGGTGCATTTGCGGTTAATTCGTTGTCATTGGATAAGTTATTAGGAATATGACGAAACGGAAGACCAAGGAAAGAAAGAAGAATGCACCAAAATGCAGGTGCTGCACCAAACACTGGTGGTTCTTTCTTGTTGTAAGTGAATGCAACGAAAAGACCCGGAAATAACGAATAATGAAACAATTCATATATTGACGTGCTCATTTCAAAATTTATGCTTTGTTATTCCCATCATCCTGTGGTTTCAGGATGATCCACAAGAAAGGTGGCAGGATTCGAACCTACACTCTGACCATGCCTCACCGCCTTCAACCCATTAGTCTCTGTTACAAGGTAGGGGGGGTGAGGAAAGGCAGAAATGAGTTCATGCCACAACGATCCCTATGGAAGGGAAATTTCTCAATATTTTTGGCTCGCAATAAAGCTAGGGTCCTGTTCGGGCAAGCTATTGATTCCATTACCGAACCAAACAAGATTATTCCCTTAGTCCTATCTATCCACCTCTCCAGACACAATATCTTGAGTACCTATGATGGTGACCACATCTGCTGGCATGTGATGTTTGGACATAGAATCGAGTCCTTGTGAATGGGCAGAGCCAGGTGCTCTTATTTTATGACGGTAGGGACGATTGCTTCCATTACTGACCAGAAAGACACCAAATTCTCCTTTAGATGCTTCAACTGCGGTATAGGTAGAAGGAGCTGGTACGGAAAAACCTTCTGTATAAGGTTCGAAATGGTGAATTGAGGTAGAGTAGACCGATGATCCTGTAGTCATTTGGTCGGCTATTGAAAGAAAAAGCTTGCATCTGCTCCCCCTATTATATAACCGGTCCTATCTCTCTCCAAACCTAACGTGGTAGTTTCCCATCATAGGGCTTTCTATCTATAGATTAAGCCATTACCAAACCAAGGAGCGGCTGCTAATTAGCACGAAATCATAAATAAGCTCTACCAAGGATTGCCAAGCATTTGGTACTAAGTTTCCTCCTCCTTTTTTTGTAACAAAATGAATCAGAAGTAGGACCAAACTGAGAGTTAGCAGCATAAACAAAGATGAATTTGTGAATGAGAAATACAAGTTTCCTATCTTCATAGGAATCAATGGGAGAATGGAAAATTGCTCAAGTGGGTTGTTGGGTGTAATCGTAAGAAACACTTTTCATTTCATCCCTGTAGTTCCGCTTCTTGCTCTAAAAATTAGGAAAGACTTGTCGGAAATCGCCAGTTGGCTTGGTCCGACCAAGAAAGGCATGGGACTCTTTGGGCATTGCTTGGGTCGAGTGAAGTAAAGACTGGCTACCTATAATATAAAGATCCCTCACTGCACACTTTAGATATAATGAAAACCTTTAGTTTAGGAGTCATTCAGGCTAGATCTAAAAAGAGAAGGCCGTGGAAGACTTTGACCGAATGAATAGGGATCAATTGATAGAGATTTTTTTTTAGGAAGAGAATCCAGGATGAACGCTTTTTTCATTCGCTATGCGCTGACTGGATACGTACTCGCGTGATCAATCGATGGACGGGGGAATTGCGTGAATGACGAGACCGGCCTAACCTAAAGTGGGTCCTCCCCCCCTTGATGGCGAATCTTGATTGACTGACACTAGGAACCGATTCGGAGAAAGAAGAAGCATGAGATAGGCGGTTGAGTCCCGTCGATGTAGGCTAGAAGAACAATCCGTCTCATATGCAGGACAGTCTAGTATCCATATCTTGAATAGGAGTCAGTGTGCATGGTCAATTCCATCTTTCCGCTGAAGGAGAATCCAATACCAGTACTCAAATAGTAAGTACCGAGAGTACGATAGTGATTAGCTGTCGAAGGCGATGAAGAAAGGAATTGGCTTGCTAGAGGACTTGCTATATTTTGTTGGCGTTCAGTGAACCGATCCAGCCTTTTGTTTGAGCCGGTGGGTTGTGATTGAGCTTAGCTTGGCAGATCTCGCACCGTAATGCTAGTGCTTATTTATGAAAAATAGATTGTTGGTATGGCAGCAGCTACCAAAAGCACACTAAGTTAGTCACAGGTAGAAACCTATGAGCTCTACTAGCTCTCCGACTCTATAAACTTGTCTTTCCGGCCCATTTACCCCATCTTTCTTGCTTGCTATGAGCGTTGTTACTGCTACTCAGAACGGTCTTTCTTTGCCGGTTGCCGAAGGCTCTTAAAACCGACAGAATGACCCGGTAACGTTGCACTCCATCGGCTGATTTAGCAGCAGTAGCATCAGTGGCTTGGCTTTTCGGGCTGAAGGAAGAATCCTAGGGTGGAACCAGAAATCAACGGATAGAACCGATTCAACAGGGACTGAAGCTGACAAGCGATAGCCAAGTTAGGTGTAGGAAGGAAGATAAGCATCCAAATCCTCTTTTATTCCTTAGCTTAGTCTGCTCTTAACACTTCTTCGCCAAGTCCAATAAAATACAGACTCTCTATGACTCAAAACCCCCAACCTACATCGTACCAGATCAGACTAGTAACATCTCTTAGATGGCTGCCTTCTACTTACATTTACATAAGGACTCACCCTAGGAATGGATTTGATTCATACCCAGACTAGTCCTACCTCAGCTTCTAACTTAAGGAAGTAGCTAGCCGCTGTTGCTATGCCGTGTTTGACGATTGTTGCTAGAATGAATAGCCAAATCAAGGGAATGAATCAAAGTTTTTTTCCGGGTATAAAAGAGGTTTCAGTTCTGATTTAGACTACGTACGAGGCATAGGATGGATAGGCACCAAAGACCAACAGCAAAAGAATAACCTAATTCTCTTAGTCAAGGTAGGGGTTCAGATCTCATCATGCCTTTTTTTTTGCATCATTTCACCAACCCTACTCACCTTCCTCCTTCTGCTCTTGCTTGCCACTCCATTAATTATTATCAAGCGTAATTCGACGGAAGCTATTCGAAAACTATTGAACTTGCTCCGAAGTTTATGATTTGGCTTTTGTGTGTCACTGATTACGGTTTACGATTGGATTGCTATCTTATCAAATGAATGCTATAGCCATTGAGGCTAGAAAAATCCATTAAAAAAGGAAGGGAAGATTACAATTTTTTTTATAAAGAGGTACCCTTCATCAAGAAAGCTTGCATAAGAGATCCTTCTTACTGCTCTATCTAGAATGAAAATCTAAAGATAAAAATCAATGTTAGGCTGTGGGGCCACAAGGGCTGGGACCCCTAAGGAGAGGTCAACGAATGCTCTTCGAATTGGTCTATAGCCGATGAACCGACCAGGACACCCCCCCTTTCTGCCATATCTCTCACCGCCTCAGACTAGCTATCCCTAGCCGAAAAAAGTATGAATAGAGCAGTTGAGTGCCTTTCCTTCCCCTATCTTTGTTTGCCACCACCCGACTTAATGGTAAGAAAGCCCGCCTCCTAAGAATGAAGGAATGGATTAATCACCTTTGGGGCTGGTGGATGGATCGCCTTTCCTTAACATAGATGGTGGATGGGCTTCACTTAACAAACAAGAGAATGGGCCATACGGGTGCCTACATTGTTAGTCTATTTGATTTACGGGAAGAGATATTTATTGAATAGAAAGAATGAAACCTGTACCAGCTTATCGCCAACCGTGCTTCCTACCAACTCCGCCTATCCCAGACGGTCGGTCCTATTGATTTAGCCGCACCTGAACCCGCAACAGCTGCCTCTAGTCCGAAAGCAACTTACTTTTCTGATGAATCTTAGCTTGCTTTTTGAATACAGTCAAAGTGGGACATCCCTTGTTCTCGCATTCCTTGCCCTTCACCCTCAGCTAGTTGCCTTCTTTCCTAGGGAATTCAATCACATCGGATCAGTGAGCTAAAGTCAGTCCCTCAACAGCTAAAGTAACTGCTTGATCTGTCACCCTCCGTGATTCAAGCCTGTCACCAAGCCTTAAGTCAAAAGCTCTGGTTTCAAGCCCTTTAGTTTAGGGCACCAAGTGAATCAAAGCAAGAGCTTACTCAGAGCTCGAACTCTATTTAAATCAAAGTCAAGCGAAGCAAAGCAAGCCAGCCAAAGAGGGATAGGCATGATCATTCTATTCTAAAGGTAGAGATCCTGAACTAAGGACTGAAAGCTAGAAGTTCTCTATGTGAACATAGGATCCTATATAAACAACCGGAAATGCTAGACTAACTGCTCTAGAGGCAACCTACTGGAGAAAGCCAGAGGATGGAAGTTACTCGGTTAAGAGGATTAGGGAATAAACGAAGGAAAGAAAGCTTAACTCGCTCGAACTTCCGAGGGCCAGTGAACTCAATCTTGAACCCCTGTTTAGCTTTCTCTTTAGCCTATGAGGTTTGATGACAGACCGTGGTAACTTCAGAAGCTGAAGAGGAGATGACCTTAGAAGATTCTATTAGAAGTAGGAAAGCCTTCAACAAGAGAAGGAGACCCAAGCACAGCCAACCTACCTTACTTATCGAGAAGGGGGTATTCTATTAGATTAGTAAAGGAAAGCACCATTCTTAGTTATTAGTCATTCGCTCGCTTAAAGAAGACAGCCTCCTTAGCTGCCGAAAATGAAAGGCTGAAAGTCAAGTAAATGAGTTAGGAAACCGAGTGCCATCTATCGTCTGATTAGTCTTCGTGGTAGCGGGCCTTGCTTCTTTTCTTTTGCTATTGAATCTGCTATTGAAGGAGTAAGCTGCGCCCTTAGCATGCTTTTGCCCAGGAGTGGGTGCTGACACCCTTTTGCCTTATCCGCTCTTGGTGGTTTAGTTAGGGCAGTAGATTACTTAGAGGTTGACTTTATTCTTGACTGCTTTCCAGCTATCAAAGTGGATTAGCCTTGGAAACCTTTGAAATGCTTTAACTGCGGGGCATTCAACTGTCAAGTGCCCGAATCATACCCAAACCCTTACTCAACCTCTGAAGAAGAAGAAGGAAAGAAAGCGGTCCCTAAAAAGACTGAGAATGCTAATGACTGGAAAGTAGTGCAGAGACCTTCAGGTATGAAGCAGTGAGCTGATATGATAGAAAAATGCCTGTCAAATTGTTGGGTCTGCAGCAAATAGATTGAAAATGCTTTCTAATGAAGACCTATCTGTAGATGATGTCATTCTTCCCAAAGAATCAAATGCAGTGCTATGCCAAGAAAATCTAGATAAGGTGGAACAGATGCATCACCTTTCAATTACATTCTTCACTCTTGTTCCTAATTTTTCTTTTGGTATAAACATCAGTTTTTCTTTTGGTATAAACACCCCTGTTCCATTCTTTTTCCCACTTTTATTATCAAATTGAAAACTTTAATGCTAAAAAAGATGGAATGCAGGGGAAAAAAGAAGAAAATCAGAAAAAAGTGTATGTTCCTAAGAAGCAAGTGGAGTTAAAAGTGAGTTCTAACTTTGATAATATAGGTTCTACTTCAGGAAAAGATGATCAAGATGAAATTATAACACAAAACCCATTTGATGTTCTTGCTGATTTGGGTTTAAGAGATATGTCTTATCTTGATGAGATGGATTCGGAGGTTTTAACTGGAGGTGGCCAGGAGACAAGCACCGAAAATAAAATTGTTGATCAATGATGATGAATATAGGGTGTTGGAATGTGAGGGGATCGAATTTAAGACCAAAACAGGAGGAAATAAAAAATGTGATAAGAAGTAATAATTTGTCGTTGTTTGCTATCCTTGAATCTCAGCTGAGGTTTAATAAGTTACAAACGACTTGTAATAATGTTTTTGGGAGCTGGATGTGGATTTCGAATCAAGACATGAGCCTTAAAGGCACTTGTATTATCATTGGATGGGACCCAAATGAAGTTATTGTC